AGTTTAACTGAAATCAGGTAGTCCAGAGATCCGAACATATTTAGATGCAGTTTGGTCACTTGATTTCAAAGGTACGCAACCAATTAGGCCTACTTGACATAGCCTTAATTATGGCCCTTGAAATCACGTGATCTATCTATATTTTGAAGTACTTGTCAGTTTGATCCATTATGCGATCGCCTATTACGCCAGTATAGATAACACTGCATCCACATCAGTAACTGGAAACACAAAGGGAAGTGAATACAAACGGTGTCCGAAAGTGCACTGTGGCGAAATCACGATGGTTTTTGGATATATAGTAGAACTGCCTCGTCGGCGGTGCCATGGGTTTCTTATGACAGTGAAACGAAACGTTTGTGTTCAAATTCATGTATCCATTTTGTTGACGCCTTCGTTTTATTGTGATCTCGGCTGTACCAGTCCGGGTAGCCGTTTTATTCCAATTTTTCGGTGAACAGATCTCCTTTGCCCCATCGTGCGGAATTCTTCAAAGACGAAAAACGCTGTGTCATCTCGAGAAATACACTCATTTTAAAATCAATTTGGTTTTCATGAGAGACTCAACTGCATCTCTCGTTTATGCTATGTTTCGGTTGTGAGTAGTTTCCTTCATGAAAATATACTGCGATATCTCGAATATCGTGCCAATTGAATCATGAGGCGGCCTGCGTGCAGCACATTCAGTTGTAGAATATCATAAACGAGAGATTCAGTTGAGTCTCTCGTGAAAACCAAATCGATTTGCAAATGAGTGTATTTCTCGAAAACAGTGCAATTTGTGTTCAAGTAGATCTTAACGTTGACGGGAACTCGGGGACTGCGCCTACCCGATGAGTCCCAAGAAGGGCCAAACCGGTCGTGACCTGTCGATGAGTGTTCAGCAACCTTGTGAGTAGTTTCCGCTGTGTCAAAGAAGGGCGAACCGGTCGTGAGCTGTCGATGAGTGTTCAGCAACCTTGTGAGTAGTTTCCGCTGTGTCATCTCATTTACTATCCTGTCAATGTGGACACTTTCCGTATCCAACGTGCCATCCGGTTTGTGAAAAGGCGGCCCAGTAAAACTGAAACCCCTGGAATGGGTAACTATAGACCGGCCATAGAATAGTTTATCATAGTCGATAGAATTTGATTCGCGGTGAATATCTGCTAATACTGATCCCGGCTATCTTTCTAAGGCCACGACATCTATCTGAGTAAGCGTTCCCTCAATAAGGTAGCTTTGTATGCATTTCTCAAACCCTGATTCCGCAGCATATTCGAGAAACTTACCTTGTAAGTTGGCACCAATAATCGTGTCCACAAACCCTTTTTCTCCAGATGTGGTTGATTGAGAGACAGACAGACAGACAGACAGACAGACAGACAGACAGACAGACAGACAGAATCATCTTCTCAACTTTGAGAAGCGAAACATCTCTTCAAAGTCAAAAGTGACAGGTGGTATACGAGGAATTTGTTCGGCTTCAATCTGCTGTTGGCTCGGATAACTGGTTGGCTATCCGAGTGGGTCCGAGGTGCACGAGATGCGCTGTACAATCACCAAACAGTGGACCGAACCGCCTGTGAATGTGGTCCCTTCAAAAAATGACTGGCTTAGAGGGGATTTTCACTTTACTTGCAGTTAGGAGCGGTCACTCGACCTTTTGAACAACAGTTACACCACGTGGAATTATTAGGATGGTCTATAGTTATTGGAGGTGGAGAGTCCGACTACTCGTAAGTAGTTACGATGTCCCAAACCACAAAATCGTGACATGGGTTTCATTTGGGACGTCAGAACTTCCAGCATTGGAGGCTTGGCAAATTATTTCAAACCTTCGCAAGAATGTGACGCGCTATCGCCCGTTTGTTTTTATTTTTGCCAGTATGGCCCGAAGAGCTATTTTCATAAACACAATGTTCGTTTCCAACGCAAATATATTGGTTCTACCGACATCACAACGCCAGCTACTGATCGTATTGTTTGCTTCCCGTCATCCCATCTGTCCTGATTTCCGATTAGAATATGCGAACTTAACTGCTACGTTACATGGGTTCGGTGGTACCGACCGCCGGGTTCAGCATCAAAGAGGGCAACTGCCAACGCCAACAGCCACGAACAGTTCGGACCGGTTGTAAGTTGGTGTATGCGCCATCACTGTCGTGATAACATACCTCAAATTCGTCAAAGTTCAATGGGTTCGTCCGTGCATGACAGATAAATGGCTGTCTTAGCCAGTAGAACACTGATCAAAACCATGAAAGTTGATTGAACCACTTCAAGTTTCGTGAATCCGGATGAATACAGCTCACGTCATATTGAGTAATGTTAAAGGCTGGTCACATACCGTCAAACAAAACGAATCACTGACTGTATCCACTGCCAAGACGTTCACGAGGCGCCTGTCCGTCCTCAGAGACAAACTTCCTTCTGCGCTACCGACGGCAGTTCGTTCGTGTACCTAAAACACTACAGTTTGTTTGATTCCCCTGTGGTTGTTGGTGCCTTCCTCCGTCAATTCCTCTTCCCTCTTCAGCTTGTGAACCTCTTTCAGAGTCAACCCCTTGTCTACATATAACGTAATCATTGCTATAACCCCGCATTCCGCTGCTGATCCAATTGACAGAATTTTCCTAATTACAGCTTCACTTCACATTCCACAAATATTTTGCCACATTTCGGCTCCGTTGCAATGTTTGGCCATTCCATTCCTTTCCAGCGCTTCACTATTGTCCTGAGTTCATACTTCTTCAGTCGTGACTGTCCGTTTTATTGATGTTTTGAGGAGGCCACATTTGATTGGTGAAAACTTGAGCATATGGCTGGTTTGTTTCCAGCCCCGCATAAAATTCTATCTTCCCCCTTTCCCGGAACGCCATACTGGCACTATGGTAATACTTTCATTCTGTAAGCAGCTGATCAACAGTGTAAGTGGTAGTTGGTTTGTTCGCTGAGCGCCTGTAAGCAGCTGATCAACAGTGTAAGTAAGTGGTAGTTGGTTTGTTCGCTGAGCGGGGCCTCATGGAAATAGTAGCAGTGTAACGGTGGACACTACTGATGGGAGCATGCGAGTAGTACATTCTCTCGTAAAGTGAGATCACTTACGGAAATTGTGGAGTCGCTTTGTAGCATTTGCTCGCATTTGAGTAACAGTCAATGAATATCCAGGAAAGTTCAGGAGAACGTGTTAAAGGGGAAGATGGATGTTCAGTTTTGTAAACAAAATGCATGTGAGAGTCCTACTTTCCTGTCCGATAGTCTGTAACGATTCACTTAGTGTTTCTCTTATAAACAACTCCGCAGCAAAGGCCGTACTTCCACAAGCATTCCAAAAACAGGCAACAGAATGAGACGTTGACATCTGCAATAAAGCCGGTGGTGAACAGTCGGAAGATGACGAATCGAATAAGCATTTGGGAAAGACTGAAAATAGTGTCACATAGGTCATTAACAGACGTGGATCAATCACAGAGTTGGTAGCGCTCATGTATCCAAGACATCAATTTCATAACACATCTATCTGGTTTCCCAAACTGACTGATCGTCCTAAACGCTTAGCTATGTCCCCTACATTTTCTCATTTTCCGGTGATCGAAACTGTAGCAGCTGGAATCAGCCTACCATCGGTATGGGATTTATAACGAATAACCTTATTCATAAAGGAAACTGCTCACAAGGTTGCTGAAGACTCTTTGACAGCCCACGACCGATTTCGCCCTTCTTGGGGCTCATCATGTAGGCGCAGTCCCCGAGTTTCCGTAAACATTATGATCTACTTGAACCCAAATTGCACTGTTTTCGAGAAATACACTCATCTGCAAATCAATTTGGTTTTCACGGGAAACCCAATTGAATCTCTCGTTTATGATGTCCTCCAGCTGAATGTGCTGCACACAGGCCGCCTCATGATTCAGTTGACTGATTCGTTGATTGACTGACTCACTGACAGACAGACAGATAGACTGACTGACTGAATGACGCACTACTGACTGAATGACCGACTGACTGACTGACTGAGAGACTAACTGACTAGCACGCTGCTGACTGACTGGCCGACTGTCACGCGTGACCTCCTGTGTTGTCTGCATCAATCTCATTTAAAACAATTCGTCCATATCTGATGTTAGTCGTGTGTTTACAGTTGGTCTGTGCGCAAAATTTCGATAGATTTCACGGTCTGTTCATCCCGCTTCTCACGTTCTCTTTGTTGGCTCCGCATTTAAGAAAATGTTGAAAGGTTTTTTATTTCGGAAAAGTTTGGTAACTGTCGGTAGATTTATTGCTTGGCGACGTTTCACTTTTGACGCAAAAGCTCGGTCAGACCAAGTGACTGAGTTACAAGATTGGTAGAGATTTAAGGCAGATGGAGAACCGGTCGGCTAATTCAAGCTAAATCTCTGTTACGTGTCGGCCAAGAGATTTTGTTCAAGGCCTTATTCACAAAATAAAGTGTTCACGTGCAATCAAATTGGCCTTTCCTCATTCTAACCTAATTCAGTAGATCCTATGAAGTATTTGAGTTACCGTTGCGTGTTTCACTACCAGGTTACATGACCTTGGGGGATCCCTCGCCATCACTCGTGACATTAGGTGCGACCATCCAGCGTCACCAATTCCCGTGTATTTCTTTCCTGGAAGATTACTCGATCTTTATTTTGCTTTATTACGCGCCCAACAAAGTTCTTGTCCAATCTCGTTACTCCAATGTTCACCTTTCTAATCCCCGTTGACACATTTTCCCCTCGATTCAAAATCTTCCGTTCCCCTCCCCCACTGTAGGAGAAATTAATCTCCTGGTTGCATCATCTCCTCTGATTCATCAACGACAATTCGTCAGAAAACTCCATCCCTACTGGATAGTTTTATCCGTACCCCTGGAATACCTGTACACCTTTGGCTATTTGCTACTTCGCAGCACTTTAGAAATGTGAAATTCCCAACCTCTGAATATCTGCGAAATTCCACATGGTGTGCACAGATCAGAACACACTCTAGTCAAAAAACACCCTGTTTTTATTGACCAATATCTGTAAAGCTGAAAGAACGGTGAGAGCTTGTTTGTTTGTTTGTTGGTGAAAACTCTTCATACACGTGGTAATGAACTATGTAGTCATGTCACCTGGAACACGGGAGATGAAACCTCTGTGTGTGTGTTTGTCTATTCGACCACACAAATGCCATCACGTCGGGGCTCGAAAATTGGCTAAAATTCCACCAGCCACAATGCTTGTTCATACGAACAGGCCAGCACAAAGGGAACAGGGGCACAATGTTCGATCGATCGACATGTTGGTCAGTTTCTGCCTGTGGAATGTGTAAATACGTGGAAGTGTATGAATTACTAACTGGATGGCAAAGTTGATGCTGCACAGCCCAAAAAGTTGAGGGACGAGAGGATAACCTGAAAAAATGTCTTCCCGACGGGTGCGAACATCTAGAAGGCTAGGGACCAAGTTGTTTTCAGAAAGCACGGTTTTGTCGCGGCCACGAGAATCTAGATAGGACGGGGAATGGAAAAGACGGTTGATTAGTAAACAGAAATGCTTGAAGACGGGTGCAAAACGTTGCGCTATGAGCTGAGAATGTTTATTAGTTCCCGATGCTTTCTGTGTCGCATTCATTTAGGCAGAACTCGGAGACTTATCTCCACGACTTGGTGGGTTCGCTGCTCCACGAAGTATGTCACAGTGCTTGGTCCTATTTCTCTCGGCGACAGACTTCATGCATTCTTTTTTCCGCCAGTTTGGTAGTCCTCCGAATGTAGCGTCAGTGGTTAGAGTGCGAATTTACTGACCGGAAGGTCCGTGGTTCGAACCCAACCTCTTCGACCCTCTCGACTTCCCCTGTGTAGGCTTGGGCAACCTGGCAGTATCCCAGCCCTCGTGCCTCCTTCATGTGGCATGGCAAACTAGGCGCCCAAGGGTGCTACAGCCGAACGATGTAGCGTCAGTCTTACTTGAAAAAGACTAGTTGGTTTGAGGAAGCATGCAATCGTGTGTCTCTATCAATCTCACTGTTTTAGTGCCATGATGAACACAGACTATCTTGTCCAGAGAGAAGTAGTAAGGCCGACGGTGTACACAAATCTACTCTAGAATTGAACGAACTCGGGTGTTGTGTTCGTTGCCGCTAGGTTGAAATGTGGAACTGTGCCCCACTGTATTTCGACACAGGGCGACCTCCAACTGACTTTCCAATAAGCAATAGGACCCGAGGACTGATTCATCGGTCGTTTGGACTGCGGTGTGCAATGGAAGACAACCCCACCTTACCCATTCTGTCCAATCGATCGTGTCATGTGTGAATTCTGTCTACATTTGAAATAGCCCGCAGATTAGCTGTTCGTCTAGCCGCAGTAATCAGTTTGTCTGGCAGACGGTCTTCTCTTCACAGTCAGACTTAGTTAGCTTTACACTTCCATCCAACCAAAAGAATTGATGATCGGACGAAGCAAGTTCGTCGGGAATTGATGTTTTTGGGATAACTCTTGGCGACCGACAACGGACACTTTTCACGATACTCGCAACAAGACACCGGTATTGGTAACGTGTTGGAATATTGGTGGTTGTGGTACATTTACTGGTCTGCTGGTCGAACTTGGCGACTGATGTGCAAACGTTTCGTCACCATTCAAGGAGACATCATCAGCACGAAATCTGGTGCCTAGTTCCAGTTTTCATCCATGCACTTATATAAATTTGCAAAGAGCATCCTCAAGCTCTGTCCTGACTGGCTGTTCATAGGCCATCCTACTCGGAGTCTGATTGGTCGGTTCATGATTTATGTTGAATCGTGATCTGAAGCGTTGATGTTTTCTTAACTGCCGATGATACATGTACAAGCTAATAGCCAAGTTCGGAAAACAGACGAATGGCTACTTGGATAGCCACTAATTCTTTTTTTGTTTCCCAAAGGTTTGTACGCTTGTTGGCGGTATTCTTCTTAGCTGGGGTCTACGAAGTGCTTTCTCTGAACTCCGTACTGATCGCTCGGTCTGGTACAGTAAAGGCATCCGTGTTAGGGGAATACACTCATTTGAAAACAAGCTTGATTTTGCGGGAGACTCGCCTGGGACACAGCTGAATCTCTCGTTTATGATGTTTTCAAGTAGAGCATCTCGAATATGGTACCAAATGAGACATGCGACCACCTGGTACAGCACATTCAGTTGCTTAAAAACAGCATAAACGACATCAGGCGACATAAACGCATCAGATCAGGGCAGTCTGCTCCGAGGCAGGTCTAAAACCGGCCGAAAGAGATGCGGCTTTTGTTAATTTATGGAGTGAAACAGGACGAAAAACGAGTCCAGAAAGGCAGAGGAAGCCACCGTTTGTCCCTGTATAACAAATTAGCTGACCTTGCTTGACGGTACGCTAGACGCTATAAATTTCATAACAAATAGTCAGTGCGATGTTGGACACGGAGGATCACATACCTGCGCTACATACAGAAACACAATCTCCTTCTCGTCTGCTGAGAACGGGAACGCGCAAAATTCTCCATTCTACACTGTGACCGTGAAAGATAGCGAGATGATCGCGCCTGAACCCCTCCCCCTCCTATTCATGTGTGGTCTCCATGTACATCATCAAAGTACATTCGACTTCCTTGTGACAAGTCCTTCCCATCAACTTTACTCAGAGCGGGCTTCGGGGGTTTATCTTAGCTGAGAATGTTTGTGGCCAATGGAAGTTTGATTGTCCTCTGCTGTCAAGTTACATATTCTTTCCCTTTTCCTTAAATACGGCAGATGCCTTCCTACGTTGCCGTGAAGAATATTCAAACGGGTTGATGAAGCCATCTCTGGTTGTTCTGTGCAGATTTAGCGCATTTTGTCCGTTTCCTCCTCACGTTGGTCAGCCTAATTAAAGAACAAAGTGTCTTATGACACCACCTGGTACAGCACATTCAGTTGCTTAAAAACAGCATAAACGACATCAGGCGACATAAACGCATCAGATCAGGGCAGTCTGCTCCGAGGCAGGTCTAAAACCGGCCGAAAGAGATGCGGCTTTTGTTAATTTATGGAGTGAAACAGGACGAAAAACGAGTCCAGAAAGGCAGAGGAAGCCACCGTGTGTCCCTGTATAACAAATTAGCTGACCTTGCTTGACGGTACGCTAGACGCTATAAATTTCATAACAAATAGTCAGTGCGATGTTGGACACGGAGGATCACATACCTGCGCTACATACAGAAACACAATCTCCTTCTCGTCTGCTGAGAACGGGAACGCGCAAAATTCTCCATTCTACACCGTGACCGTGAAAGATAGCGAGATGATCGCGCCTGAACCCCTCCCCCTCCTATTCATGTGTGGTCTCCATGTACATCATCAAAGTACATTCGACTTCCTTGTGACAAGTCCTTCCCATCAACTTTACTCAGAGCGGGCTTCGGGGGTTTATCTTAGCTGAGAATGTTTGTGGCCAATGGAAGTTTGATTGTCCTCTGCTGTCAAGTTACATATTCTTTCCCTTTTCCTTAAATACGGCAGATGCCTTCCTACGTTGCCGTGAAGAATATTCAAACGGGTTGATGAAGCCATCTCTGGTTGTTCTGTGCAGATTTAGCGCATTTTGTCCGTTTCCTCCTCACGTTGGTCAGCCTAATTAAAGAACAAAGTGTCTTATGACAACTCAACTGTCAGTCAGAAGAAGACGGCAGGGAAGCGCAATTGGAACGAGCCAATCAAAACGCACGAGCAATACGGTTAAAAAGGCATTACGATAACCAATCCACTGGGAGAAAGACAGGCCATAACGCAGCGGAGCTTGTGAGCGGACCAATCAGAACTCGACGCAACCTATCTGGCAAGCCAATCGAGCAAAATTCGTCCAGACCACAGCGCAGCACAAATCACCAGTGGACGACATTACGATAAAGCTGTTCCTCCATCAACCAACCACCTAAAGAGGTGACAACTGCTCTCTTGTAATGCAAATCCAAGCAGGCCAGAAGAAAGCACATACCCAACCGCGTACTGATGATGTCTCCAAGACTGGCGCCGAGATGTTTGACCGATTCGGTGAACAGATCAACAGCTACCTGCTATACAATCACCTAACTCACCCGAGCTACCAACATCTTGATATGCTGTCAAAATCCCTCATTCTTTATGGACTTCACTTACCGGCGGTGGAACATAGGACTGTCCTCATCCTGGTTGGACGTAACCATGAAAAGCCGGAAGGATGATCTGGTTTCTCAGTCGTCCAACTTTGATTACAACTTTTTGGGGCGCCACCTATGAAACCGGATAAAAATGAAGTCAACGAGAAGGGAAAATTAGATACATAGGGAGACTAGAAATATGATTATGGGGCAAATTCAATAAGCCAGTGATCAGGTCTTCAGTAGTGTGTTGTAGAAGTGCACGAGTTTCGCTCTGATGCCTAGTAAAGTAATTTTTATATGGTTCTCAAATTTGTTATCTGCCATCTTCTGACCACGAACGTATTCTGAAAATCTGAGTCTGAAGGTCGTTAATTTTTAAGCACGTATTGCGCGAAACCAAAAAAAACAAAACTGTAAAGTATAGTGCGAATTTCGCAAATAGTCTATACTCAAATACACCCGTGATCCGGTCCTGAAAAGTCTGTTTCCTGTACAGAGTGCAAACCCAGTGTTTTCAACATGTGTTGACCTTGTGGCGTTAAGAGGAAGGTACCGTTTTGGATACTCGGTTGGCAACGTATTGGCCACTTTGTAAGCATAGCAAGAAAAACCATAGTTCTGGATTCCGAAGTTCTGAAAATCTTCAACCGTTATGTTGTGAGACCGATAAAGTGAGGCCTTCGTGTGGGTGGCCCCACTAAAAATGAAGCAAGTTGTCAAATTATAGGCCGAATGTGGGATAAAGTAACGACGAATTCTATCAAATTGACTGCTGGTGCTATAAAAGGTTCAAATGCAACCCCAGAACCGCGGCTGCTCCTATCTAGGCTTGGGCAACCTCATCGAATCTGGGCAAAGCCTCATAACGCTCTACAGATTGTCTACGTTGGCGTGGGACTTTGTTCATTTTCTAGGCATATCTAAACTATTTCAGTCTGCGAAATACAGTCGTTTGCAAACTAATTTGGTTTTATGAAAGACTCACCTGGAACCCAGCTGGATCTCTCATTTGTGATGTTTACAGGCAACTGGTCTCGAGGTCATGGGTGGACGCGCTGCTTCAGACTTCAACAGGACTTGGTTCACCGCTAACTTCCAAAACAGTCTTTGTGGGGCCACTGCACAACCAACATCTTAGCCCGATTGTACCTCAGATATGAGGTAGACTAAAGCGATTGTTACAGTGCTTCTAGGCGAATACAGTGGCCTTCTTCATTCTTCCTTCAACCAGATTGGAACCTCTCTCCTCTAGGGGACTGCTTCGTACCGCCAGCCTAAGCAGCACAAATGTTTTCATCTTCCTTTATTCGTATCCGTATGAAAAAAACACTACATGCAGCCATGTTCAACGTTCTGGACTCAAACACATCATCCGTTAAGGGAAGAATCTACTAGTTATGTAAAGATTTCGGTACTGTCAAAGTTGACACAAGATGCATTAGGATAAGCACTGAGACGTACTCGTAGCAGAGCTCCAACAAGCTCGCTTGTCGACGTGCTAACATCTTCGTCGTTGACGCTGAGGATTTGATCCTTGACCAACAAACGACCATCGGCTGCCGCCAGAGATCCTCGTATCTGAGAAAAGGTGGATGAGATATGTGCGAGAGTCGAAGTAAGACTTGATCCTGTAACAGCAAAGAGGGGTTACTGAGACTATATTTGCTACGCTGTGAGTACAGTTCATTCCGATCAACATGAAGTCATGCGATAAATAATACGCATGGTACCATCAGGAAGACAAAATGCCCCAGAATCGGAATATCCCCAGGGGGGGTTTGAAGGTATAGAGCCTCTCCGTAAGAACGTTTGATCATGAAACATGATACAAAAATCAAAAACTGAAGAAACCTTGTCGGAGAAAGTCATGGAAAACTTACAACTTCAGTGATCACAACTCCATATGAAGAATGCGGTGTCTGGTTTTCAGATCCCTCTGTATAGCTTAGATCCGGTGGATATCGGTCTGCAACACAGAGCCCCAAACCTTTGCCAGCCTTTTTGACCAGTTCCACCGTAAGTTCGTGGTCATGCCATTTTGTGTTCACCTCTTCAGGACGGAAGACACTGAGGAGGAATCTGGATACCTCCGGATTCGATGCTTGACCATTACCGTCGCTATTCACTGGAGCTGGGATAGCTTCTTTGTAAGCCTTGTAGATATTACGCATAGCTTCGCCGAAAGGCATTCCGATGAGGTGGATCGAATTCACCTGCAAAACCTGGTCCCCTGGACGAAGACGTCCATCCTTCAGAGCCATTCCATTGGGGTAGATTTCGTGAATGATTAAAAGGTTCTGGTGGGATATGCGCAAAAATCGAAAAAAAACGATGAATATAGGTTGAGATGCATCTGAGGAGGAGGGAAGGGCAGGTTTGTCCTCAGAAGGGTAAAACAAGACACACGCCATGCCACTTTAAATAAAGTAGCATTTACTATTCAGGTCGGGAAAAAAAACGGTGAATATAGGTTGAGATGCATCTGAGAAGGAGGAAAGGGCAGGTTCGTCCTCACCATGATAAAACAAAACACACGCCATGCCGCTTTAAATAAAGTAGCATTTACTATTCAGGTGTGTAGAAAAGTGTTTTCAATATTTTGATAAAGCTAGCTACTCACGAGGTTACTGAAAACCCTTCGACAGCTCGCCCTTCTTGGGGCTGCCGACGCCGTCCCCCCGGTTTTTGCAACCCTTGACCATTACCGTCGCTATTCACTGGAGCTGGGATAGCTTCTTTGTAAGCCTTGTAGATATTACGCATAGCTTCGCCGAAAGGCATTCCGATGAGGTGGATCGAATTCACCTGCAAAACCTGGTCCCCTGGACGAAGACGTCCATCCTTCAGAGCCATTCCATTGGGGTAGATTTCGTGAATGATTAAAAGGTTCTGGTGGGATATGCGCAAAAATTCGAAAAAAAACGGTGAATATAGGTTGAGATGCATCTGAGAAGGAGGAAAGGGCAGGTTCGTCCTCACCATGATAAAACAAAACACACGCCATGCCGCTTTAAATAAAGTAGCATTTACTATTCAGGTGTGTAGAAAAGTGTTTTCAATATTTTGATAAAGCTAGCTACTCACGAGGTTACTGAAAACCCTTCGACAGCTCGCCCTTCTTGGGGCTGCAGACGCTGTCCCCGAGTTTTTGTCAACCTTATGTTCTACCTGAACCCAAATTGGACTGATTTCGATATCATTTTGCATGCATTATATGCTCCCAAATCCTGTTCTTGTACATTATCCAAGTGCTTATAAATCATGGTTGGATGTAAGAACTTCAAGATGCCAATCCAGAAAGGAGGGTGGGTGCTGACTCCATGCGTATCTGCATATCAAACAAGCAGTTTTGAGCTGTTGGTTCTCTCCCTGTTTTTTTTCTTCAAAAGAGCTCATGAAGTGCTTTTCGCCAGCATCTGAGGGGTGTTCTATCTAGTGCAACACTAGGGTAAAACCCCGAAGAATTAATTGGATGATAGCGGACTTCGCAAGACCCTAGACAATGGGTACCGGTACACGCTTATACACAATAAGTTTCAGGCCGACTTTTGATCCGAGGCATACGTCTGGTCAACTGCTCCTAATAACTGCGCACCACGTCGATTGGAGGGATGTGTCACGTGCGGGCTGTTGACCGGATGAAGCCATGCATTGATTGGTCAGAATGTCAGCCAATCTGGATCGAATATCTATAGCTTCGCGCTTCTCACCTCCTCACAAAGATTCTAGCGCGGAACCTATATATTTGGTTGAATAATCATCTTTCGTCTCCAAAAAACAATGTTTGAAGCTACCGACCCCCTTGATATACCATAGTGGGCGGAGCAGGAATCTAAGGACCGACACAGATCTGTACCACCGGTCAGCAAGACACAACAGTGTGTCACCTTATCCGTTTCTTTTGAGTCTCTGTTGGCATCACATGTTCGAAAACGCTTTTATTTCGTCCCATGGCAACGGAGGCGAACCAGTCTGTAGGCTTTCGATCAAGCAGAAGCTTAATACGGATAGGTAGTTTAGAACACAGGCGTCTCGTCAGAAAAACTTGGACGGTGTGAATTTAGTAAGGGAGGTTTTAATCACAAAATCACCCTTTCTGGCATAAACACATGCCCGTTGCATTCCAGACTGTGGCTTCTATTGTTTCGTGTCCGAAAAATTAGACCCCACAGTGAGACTGACGTATCGTGTGTGCGATACCCCCTACCTCCGAAATGACGTAAGGATTATTGGTTTGAAACTCCACAGAATTCTGGTTGTCCAGTTTAATAAAGCCTTCCTCCCCAAAATGCTAGTTGTGATCCTAAGTAGACGACAGTATCCACCTTCTGGGCTATATTCAATTCCTACTTCTTAGTCGTACATAAAATCAGGTACGTCTGGGTTTTTTCTGATTGATATCAACATTAACACAACTGTTGCATCCTTATTGAAAATCAGAAGCAGTACCCATCTGCCAAATTTCCAGGGATATTCGAATTCACAACCTCGATGCTACTGATGGGCTATGAGCGACCAGTCAGCAATGTCGGACGGCTCCTCGACTGACGAGTTAGCCAGTACGTAATCATGTGATCTGAATTCCGTGGTTAAACGATTATTGGTGCAGTATTCTGTCTGAGTGCGAGATAATCACACAGTCGAACAACCACTCGTGGTTCAAACCACTGGGAGCAGGGGAGTCACGTGTCCAAAGCTTCCTACTGGATTTTTGTAGGATGCGCACCCAATGAGGATGAGAAAGCTTAGCTACTCTACAGGGAGAAATCTCGTTTGGATTTCTCACCTCACTCGAATGGTATGACGAAGTCGGCATACAGAAAAATCATCAAGCACAAAAGGTGACATGTTAGTCATATCGTGCACGCGAAATTGCAATGCACTACGACGTCTTTTTCAAGGTATAATGTCTTCGAAGGAACGCTTATCACAACGTGGAAGGGAACTCCCCACCAGTGTCTGGTAAAGTTACCAGCAGCGTTGTGATAGCAGGATGGATTTGTGAAGGTGGTCTACAAGAACCTCACCCTGTATGATGAGCACCCCGAAGGTGGAACAGCAGTGAAGCGAAAAATTCCCATTTCCGCACTGTGGTCTTTCAACGAGTTTTCCTGCTGTCTTGGAGCGACTCATTACCAAAACGAAGGAGTAGAGCACTCGAGAAACACACTCATTTGCAAATCAATTCGGTTTTCACGAGAGACTCAACTAAATCTCTCGTTCATGATGTTCTTCGGCTGGATGTGGTGTATACAGGCCGCCCCACGTTTCAGTGGGTACGGTATCCAAGGTCTCGCAATATATTTTCACAAAGGAAACTACTCACAAGGTTTATGGAAACTCTTCGACAACCCACGATCGATTTCGCCCTTCTAGGGGCTCATCAGGTAGGCGCAATATCTCGAATATCGTACCAACTGAAACATGAGGCGGCCTTTTTAAGCACATTCAGTTGAAGAATAACATAAACGAGAGAATCTGTTGAGTCTCTCGTGTAAACTGAATTGGTTTGCAAATGAGTGTATTTGTCGAAATCAGTTCTGTTTGAGTTGAAGGAAATTCGAGGACTGCGCCTACCTGATGAGCCCCAAGAAGGGCGAACTCGGTCGTGGGCTGTCGAACTCTCTTTTGCTTGGTTGCCATTTGACTCCTCAGAAGAAAGCCGATTACAAGCGTCAATGAGTTTGCCTATTCGAAAATGATGATTCGGGTGGGTGAACGAATTGTGTTTCATTCCCCTCGCATAACAAATGTCTGGATTTGGAATCCTGACAAGCGATCGATGAATCCTAATGAGAGCTGAACACCTCCCGACTGTGATCAACGAGAAAAATCGTGCCAGGTGTGAGCGAAGAAAGAGGATTTTGTGAGAAGACACTGCACACATTCTGTAGCAACTTGCAACGTAGTGTGCCTGTCGGTTATCCCAAGCAGAACATTACGTTGTCCAGTTAGTTTCCTGTTAAATTTGGTGGCCAGATCAAACTCTTACCCCAAAGTGAAGTCAGTGCGAACTTAGTAGGGGGTGAAAATGGATAGTGCACTGCGTGACAGCAAACTGCGCAGGTGGGTTTTTCCAACGGCACTTTAGGTGGGCGATTGCAAGACTCTCGAGGTGTAGTTGATCCTTGGGCTTTTTAGAAACCCAGTTCCATGACAGTTTTGCCATTTAAACTACATTGCACCTGTCAAAGGAACCAAATGCACCCATGTTTTTGGTCTGTTACCTGCTGCTCGCTCTCTGCTGACCAGTCTGACTGTCTGGAAATCAAACAAAGGTGTGTTTGGTAGTACGACTTCGTTCACCTGGTATTTTGTCCCATACATAATTGGTTTTGTTTGCACGTTGTTTATGCTTAAACGGTGACATTGGTCCATTTCCTTTCATAGGACAGATGCGATGTGAACGGTACGAAGACTAAACAATTTTTGGGTCCAGTCGTTGGTTTGCTCGCTGAACTGAGCAATTTGTTTGCAGACTTTTTGTCACCAATCGAGATGACATCATCTGTGCGTTGTTGGGAGGCGCAGTGGAGCCCAGAGATGGGTCAGTGCTTGTGCGCTGAACAGTGTTGAATGTATGCTGTTAGTCATGGCTGACCTTCGATCGGTCAGCTGATTGGCTTGCTATCCTTGTATCCTGATTGGTCGGTGACTACGTGACTTTGAGTTTCGTCTGGCTACTTACTGAAGATTGGTTAGGTTGCCGCTGCAATAGCTTCATTGACCTGTCTGTGTTTGTCTGTCAATGTTCCGGCTGAAAGATTAGGCGGCCTTCATCATAACTAACAGATTCGCTTCAGATACGGTTGAATTTGCAAACGAATGTGCGACCCCACAATTTAGTGTTCAACTGGGGACTAGGAGCGACGGAAACGCTCTTCGACCTAATCTGCCCGAAGAGGGACGAGACCGGTAATATACTGTTGAAGAGTTTCCGTGAGCTTTATGAGGCGTTTGAATAGAATGCTGCCTTACAACCAAGCGAACCGAGAACATCTTTGAGCGAATACAGATCGGATCGAGAGAGCTTCTCATTGCATGAGTGCATGTGTAGGTAGTGGAATATGGGAGATATGTGTTCACATCAATCTCGTTTGAACAGTCTCCCTCCTGTCCTTGTCCAATCGTTAGTCCACACGGAAGAGAGAAAGCTCTAGAAAGTAGCTTGGCCTTGGCACCAGCGACACAGGTGTTCAGCTACGCCGGGCATGGGAACCAACAGGCGATACCACTGAAAGGATAAAAGCCCTTCACCGCGGAGTTGTTCATTAGAAAACACCAATTAAACAGTTAGAAACTGTTGGACAGAAGAGTAAACCTTCTTTTTAAGATCTGATTATTCTTGAACGCATCTTCTTGAACACTCCTGGATATTCATCGACAATCACGCCATTGTAAACGAATGCTGCCAACGAGTTCCACAAATTCCGTAATAACCCCTACCTTCCATTCGACGCGAAGGGAGCTACGAGAAAACCACATACTACTCGCATGCCTCAACAGTAGCATCCGCCGTTACACCACCACTTAATCAACCCACCTCGAACCGGAACAGACAAAAGTCATCATTGAGCACCGTAACAGTTTGACCCAACGACAACCCAGTAACTGCCACGGTTGTGCCGATCGATTTATCGGTCAGGTAGATCCTCCGAAACTTGAAAGTAAATGTTGTTTGTGTGTAAGCTTAGAGAGCTACAAGTGCATATTCATGTTTGTTCGGGGTCGACCAGTCATGTCTAGACGGCAGATGGTTGTTGACCATGAATTCGGATGACAAACTGGTTGCCAATTAAACGGCTACAAATTCTGACATTCCGCATCTTATCCGAAGTCTCTTGATAAAAAAGTACTACGTGACTGTGCGTTTGCTCAGTCTTCTACTGTTTAGTAGAGCTGAATGGTGCTCAAGGATAGAAAACATGCGAGTCTTTTGTGTGCTGCCGTGCAGCCGTCGGCTAGCCTCGCCAACCCATCTGGCCTCACAATCCCTAGATGGCATTTTGTGGACACAAACGGTCTGGTCATCCACTTCTACACTGTCTTTTCGTTGCCTTTCTATTGCCCAATCAGGTCGGAAAACTTCACTATGTTAATTTCCGATACAGCCAACCGACTGCGCCTACCTGATGAGCCCCAAAAAGGACAAACCCGGTCGTGGGCTGTCGACGGATTTTCAGTAACCTAATGAGTAGTACATTACAAAGATATACATGTATCGCGATATCTCGAATATCATAGTGAGTGAAATAGGAGGCGGCCTGGTGCAACACATTCAGTTGCCTGAAAACATCACAAACGAGAGATTCAGCTGGGTTCCAGGTGAGTCTCTAGAAGAACCAAATTAGTTAGCAAAAGGGGGCATATTCGCTAATTTCGTGCAATTTGGTTACTAGTACAACATAAGGTTGACGGAAACCCAGGGGCTGCGCCTACCTGATGACCCTCAAAAAGGACAAAACCGGTCGTGGGCTGTCGACGGATTTTCAGCAGCCTTATGAGTAGTACATTACAAAGGTATTCCGATAGATCCGACCCAAGTGTCGTTCCTACACTGCAACTGAACAGTCGCCAGAATTGCTGGCCCTTTTACAGATTGTCTGGGGTTACTTTGCCGAACGAAGTAGAGCAGGCATTTCTTAGCGCTGTCTGAGTGCGTCGAGGCTTTCTGAGCACATCTTATTTGACCCATTTACCACTGTTCTTTTTAGACTGGTGGAATGAAATTAGCGGTTAATCAAATTCCTCTCGAAATGAGTCGGTCTGCGCTAAGCGGCTACATCGAAACGTTGTTAAACCTCAGCACCTGGTTCACCAGTCTCACGAGTGTCAAAGACTTGAATCACGTTTACTTGTATGTGTCGCTTGTGGCGTCAAAAGTTCTCATGTCCCAGGCTACAGTAAGGGTTGTGTTGTTGTATGGGTGCGAGACATGGCTTCTGCGGACAGATGATGTGAGGCGTCTTCAGGTTTTGCCCACCGGTGTCTCAGACTCGTTACCGATGTTGGGTGATGTCAATGAATTCGTAACCAGGTAATTAGAAAACAAGTCTTTGGCTGCGCGGCAGGTATTTCAGTCCCGGAAAACACCCAAGACAAATGGCAGCGGTGGTGCGGTCATGGGTTACGTTTGCGAAAACATTGTCTATCACTGCTGTTTTTCTTGCCAAATGCAGAGTGGTGGCCAACTTTGACCTGACACAGGGTATGAAAGAGATTGCAAAGAGTTTGGGTGCTGTTGGTGGGACTTGTCTTTCAGGATGGAAATCGCGTGATCTCCACCGTGCGTGGTTGGAGATGCTGCAAGATATGGCTGATAATCAACGACGTTTTTATCATCGGTTTCTATCCAGATGGCCCGAATGAGTATACTGAGATGTAGGCACCTAAGAATGATTGTGGTAGGCCCATACTAATTCTATACCCCATTCACGTTTATTCTTTTCTCCACACGAAGGTTTCCAAGAACAAAGCATGGTTATACAGCAGCGGAGTATCAATGTTCAACTCTGGTGTCATGCTTTCGGTGATAATGAACTGAAATCTTATGAAGATACTTGTGAACGACTCGGTATTATCCCTGGGTTCCCGCGAAACAACATGAGTGACTCTCAAACACATGGAATGATTAAAACGAAAAAAACCTATGGCAAATCAATCTAGTAGAGAACTTAACTAGGGTGAACTCTGCCTAATTCCGAAGAGGTTTAAAGTCAATATACGATGGTTAATACCACAGAACTGCATCAAAGACTGAACCAAAGTCCTTGGGGCTTCATCTTGCGAAGGGGTTAAGGAGATCACTTCCACACTTCTGTGGAAAATCACACAGGGCAATTCCAAATTTTACCTGTTAAGAACCTGAATGGACACATCCTTTGGTTGTAGATGGTTTTGAAGTACTTTTAAACTAAAATTCACAATTCTCTTCGCCCTGGAGCAATTATTCCTGTGAAAACACAACAAAGAGCGGGAGTGTATCCAATCAAATCGGGTTTTGAAGTTAAACTAAAATTCACAATTCTCTTCGCCCTGGAGCAATTATTCCTGTGAAAACACAACAAAGAGCGGGAGTGTATCCAATCAAATCGTTCAAAGGTGGTTTTTTTCGAACTCATCTCTTCAAACGTGAAAATTGTGGTAAGTCAAGCATGCGATGGCATAGTTGTGGTAACACACTTGCTTCATATGTCCGGAGTTCGAACCCCGGTAGGGTCAAGGACACACGATAATGAAAAGTCCTAATAAAGGCTAAACACCCTTTTGATATGGATGTACCAGAATAATTTGGCCAAGGCTGAAGAATTACCGTTTAAACGATAGTAGCTTATGTCAGAAAACACCAGAGATATCAACAGTAGTCGCCTTTTTCTTACCTTGACTGTGCCATCCTGTCAGGTAAAATTGGCACGTTGCTGTAATGATATTCAAGGTTTAGAGATTCCTACACGAAAAAACTGGGAGAGCATGTAAAATGGACATGTGTTATGTACAATGAGTAATACTCACAAGCGAAGTTTCCGAACCCCCAACACATCCCATCCCAAGAGCCAAATTCGAACTAGCTTCTAATTCAATCTGCACTTCCTTGCCGGGAATAATCACTCGAGTCTTCGGAGGTTCCGCTGGTTCGGTTGCGTCGTGCGCCGGTTCTTCAAGCTTCAAGCTGCTTCGTTTGCTAGTCTGGCCGGGAAGGAGCGGAACCAGGGGCGTCCTCATGCCAGAAGAACATTGGGATTCCTCACTGCACAAGGATATTCGAAAGCTGGGGAGATTTGGAGTGCTAGCGCGCCGTATTTGGGATAAATTGTGGCTGACAAACAAATGCCCGTTTGGTGACTGCTTACCTGTAGACGGACAGAGGGTATTTCACGGTTTTTAAACAGGTTACTTGTGACATACATTCACAAAGAAGGTAACCTGACTGAATAGGAATGACAATTGTGGGTTTTCTCCTTTTTTTACTGAAAAATATCAACATTGTGGACTTATGGGGATAGTGTTTCCCCAAGAGAGATCACCGCCACAAACGAAAACATGGCTACAACCCAGATGAAAACAGAGACGATGTCAAACGGAATCGCGTGCAATGCTGTTTTGGTCACAGCTCCAAGTCTAACCAGGAACAGCTTGTTGCATAGTGCTTAGATGTATTTATTTGAGTAGAGAGTGTTCTCTGTGGGATTTCGTCCTGTAAGTGAAGCCAGTTTATGCTTGAAAGCCGAGAAGCACTGTACAGCTGTTTCATCCTTATTGGGATTCATCAGCAGTGCGCATCTCACGAAACTCC